GTGCATGAGATTTTTGATCTCCACGTTTGCCAGCAGAATCAACTTACCATCCATGGTCCCCTTTTTATATGATTCTTAAACCAACCAAAAGCCAATTCTTTTCTAAGGCTCCTGAGAAGGATGGGTTAGTGTTTGTTTGTTTTTCTCCTCTTCCCATTTGCTTCTTTTTTCCTTTGTAAGTCAGTAAGTGAAGGGGAAAGAATACAGACTAAATTCCTGATTACAAGATACTGGTGGGGAAAACCATAGGAATTAAGTGCTGGCCTCTTATTCTTAGAAGTATAAAATAGTAGGTAGGTCAAAAAGAAGCTGTGACACCATCTGCGTGTGACCCCAGAGTGATAGTGGCACTAACTCAGATGCAGACAGAAACCATGAGAGATGGTTGAACAACAGACAGAATACACTCTAAGACCTCGACATGGAAACAGGAATGTGATAGCCTTCCCCAGGGATCCACAGACCAGATTTTGTGTAGGAATTAAAACTGGGCATTGTCTTCTTTCTCTTTCTTACCTCATTCATCCATTTGTTTGTTTGTTTGTTTGTTTGTCCACTTTTTCTTTTATCTCCCTCCTCCCCGCCCCTTGCTCTCACTTGCTATTGTTCTGCCCCCCCCCTCTCTCTTGAACCCAGAGTCTCATGCAGGTTAGGCAGCGCTCTCCCACCACCTGTAGCCCCTGTCCTTTGGTAGTCTGTCTTGAGACAAGGCAGCACTCAGATGTTTGGCCAGCCTTGAACTCGCTCTATTATCCAGCCTGGCCTCAGACTTTAGCTCCTATCTCAGCCTCCTGAGAGACAACCAGGCTCATGTCATCATTTCATGCACTTGTAGAGTGGGTATTTTTAGGATAATTAGTACTGAAGTTGGAATATTTGTAAATTTCCTTGATTTTTTTTCTATTCTGTCTTTCTATTTCATGTTTGGCTATCTAGCTAGTATTTTTGTTTTTGTTTTTGTTTTTGTTTTTGTTGTTCTTAAAGTATTCAGTTTTTACTTTATGGGAACGATATCTTTCAGCTCTTGTCTCTCTGAGGGCATTAACATTTGTTTATTTAGTGTGTGTGTGTGTGTGTGTGTGTGTGTGTGTGATGTGAGCCCATGGATGCAGGTGTGCACATGCTAAGTCCTTCGTGGGAGGAATCAGAGAACAACATGTGGGAATTGGTTCTCTCCTTCCACCATGCAGGTCCCAGGGATCAAACTGAGGCTCTCAGACTCCGCAGCGAGCGCCTTTACCTGCTCAAGTTTGAAAGTTCTGCTAAAGAGTTCTGAGAACTACTGAGTCAGTGAGGGAAGCCGAAGTCAACTTGGGACCCACCTTATACTCAATCTCTTAGGCAGCACCTTTGCTTTCAGAGTCCCATTGTGCAATGGGCTGTTCATTGTCCAGGCTGTTCATTACCCAGCCTAGGCTGGCAGTGGGTCTAACAACCATCTTCTGGAAACCAAATAGAAGAAGGTGTGTCAGGGGTAAGATTTTACACCCAATAGTCACCTATGGGATGGTCATGAACTTCAGCATGGAATCCTGATGCCCTAGCCAACCCTTGGTGGAGGTTGTACCTACCCCATTCCTAAGTTCTTTGTTCTCCCGGAAGTTGGGAGAAAAGGATGTCCCTCAGTGGTGTGGAATGGTCAGAGGACCTGAGACTCTCATTCCTTTTCAAATAACTCCCTTGGAATACCTGTTTCAGCCCTTCTCTATTGACCACCTAATTGAGAAGGCTCTGTATGGATGAGTTGGGGAGCCTCTGGGGAATTCTTCAGATGGGTTCCCCGATACTACATTTGGGTTTTGCCCAGCCATTTCTACCACTCACCAGTTTCACAGTTCCCACTCTTCTTATCATCTCCTTTCCTTGGCTCCCCATGTTTTAGGTGTAGTTCTGGCTTGATTTTGGAGGAAAGAGTGCCAACTGCATTTGTTCTCATCAGTCTTTATTCTTTTATTTATCTCATTTTCTCACACAACTCAATAATACAGTTGTTAACTCTATTTGCAGTCCACTAGCTTTGAGACTGTACTGTCAATAACTCATTTATTTGCCCTTTTCTCATCTGTAAAATTGGAATATTTCTTGTCCTGCCTGCCTGCCTGCCTTCTGACCCACTATAGTAGCTTGCCTGATAGATAACTCAGTTAACTTTCCAAGGAGAAAAGAACTGGTTGTTCGTGCAGAGGTTGAACAATGTCAGACTCCAGGGTGATATGAAAATCTTCTCTGGGTCAATGAAAACGCAGTCAGGATCTCTGTTTTTCATCTTGTTTCCACATCAACAACTTAGAACAACCCTTTACCTCAGTCATCAATACCCTGTGGGAGACACAGAAGTTTACCTATGCTGAGAGAGAGAAGGCAACCTCCCCTCCCTCACCTGAGGCCTAGATGACCAGCATCTGCTCTTAGCTTTTAGAAAAACATCACTTTCTCCATACCCCTTCTTTTCTGCTCCCTCCTATTTTCTTGTAAGTAAAACACTTTTTTCTCATCCTTCCATAAATGTCACCTCCTATTTTTTATGGTTGGCATTCTCTTTAGATTTCCTGTCTCACCAACCCACTGGTCCATCTCTGGCCAGTGTGGACTCAATTGATGTGGCTATCCATCCACTCAGTCCCTTAGGCAATATCTTTCCTCTCAAGGGTCTACAGGGCCTGGGGACAGTGTAAAACTTCCAGGCATTAAAGTCAAGATAGAATTTGGCCTCCAGAAGAGAGGCCAAATAAGCTTACTGGAGTCACAGTGTACAAGACTCAGAAACCTTCATGGGATGAAGAGGGGAGAAACCCTGGAAAGGTTGCTAACTTAAAGTGCCTTCTGTTTGAGGTACTAAACTTCCCAGTGAGAGAACTGGACTCTTTCCCTTCCCATCTGCCTCTCAAGAAAGCAGAGGGTAATGTATCAATCACAGATTATCCCCTTCCTAGGAATCAATCCACGTGGCCTCATATGCTCACTTGAGAACTTTCTCTACTGACAAGGCAGTTCACCACAAGGCCCTTGTGGTGAGGAAAGAAGGGATTCCAGTCAGGGCTGGTGGCAGCGAGTGTGACTGTGGTGATGGAAATGAAGGGACAGGCAATGCACAGTCCGGAGGGACTGGGAGTGGCCCGTGGGCAGGGGTATTCCTTTCCTTTCAGCTATGGCAGGCTATGTAGGACACTTGGCTCATGTGTTAGTATTGTCATCAAATGACTATTTCAACAAAGCTCCGCCTGACTCATTTGGCAGTCTGAGCAATCTGCACAGTGCTGTGCGATAATGAGGCTTTCTTGGCAACTCACAGAAGTGAGTGCAGAGTGTTCTTCCCACCTGGCTGGGACAGGCCTGCTGTGTGCTCAAGGAGGCAAGGGAGAACCAGGCAGGGCAGGTGTCTGCTCGGCAGCCCCTTTCAAGATTCCTGCCTCTGGGACTAGGGAACTAACTGTCCAGCTGCTGAGGGATCCTCCTTCCCAAAGGAGAGGGTCAGACATTGTTCACCCTCTGTGTTTGTGCCTCCCACTTTTAACCAGATTCTGTTGGCTGGGGCTGATAATGTCTGATTTTCCTTATCAGAACAAAGAGGGATCTTGACTCAAATTATGCTCTGTTAGAGGCAGAGGTCCCTGTGTGGAGGAGAGTTGGAGTGGATCAAATGTAAGAGAGGAAAAGTTGTACAGATCCCCAGGCCCACAGAAATCCTGTTGCATTTGTTTCTCTGGGACAAGACGAGATAGTTGGGGCTGCAGTGGATGTGAGATACCGTGATTCCAGGCAAGGACCTTCTCTATCACCCTAACACTTTGCCATTCCTTTGAGAGAGTAAAATAGCCATGAGATCCTCCAGTAACACGGTGATGCTGCAGAGGAGTCAGAGCCTGGGCAGAGGCCAAACAAAATGGTTTTGCTCTTGCTTTAGTGCCCTGTTAGCAGTCTGGAGCTGGTGTAACTGGCTTAAATGTGGGCAGGCCGGAGAGAGTGCTGGCAGACTTGGGAAGGAATGACCAACATAATGGGGAGGAAGTAAAAAGCCAGATTTACAAAAGGAGAGGAAGAGAAGGAAAACATCTGGGGCAAAAGTCCAGGCCAGAGTCATGCAGCAGTAGCTCTGGGGTCATCTGGCTGCAGGAGGGAAGGAGCCGGTGAAAAAGCTGAGTTGGGCAAGATGCTAAGTAGCCAGCAGAGGCATGGACCAGCTCTGCCCTCTCCCTTCTGCTGTGAACAGCGTTTTTCCAGCAACCTCCTTCCTCACCAAGTCATTCCTGGCTTTGACAGGTCATAGAGGGGTAGAGCAGGCATAGTCGTCACTCTGAAGCTGGCGCGTTAACTGGAGAGTGGCAGGATAGAGGCAAGTGCAAAGAAGGGGCTGCTCCAGGGATTCAGACTTGGGGAGGAAGATGTGGTTCTTCCTCTGTTTCCAAGGTTGCAGGCAAAACTAAGCCCCAAGAGCCAGCTTGGGATGGAGCCAAGGACCAACATACCCCTTCCCCTCACAAACACATCAGATTTTACATGTGACTTCTCCCACAGTTCAGCAGACTCTGGGTTAAAGGAGGGAGGGCCTGGTAAAAGCAACATGCCTGCAGAGACCCTGCTCTGCTCCAACAAGCCACCTCCCTGCTCTCACCCCTCTAAAAGGCAGTGGTTTGTCACAAATATCTTTCTTCCGCTTACGGTGTTCCTTTTAGCAAGTGCCTCCATTCTCAACACTAAAGACTGTGTCTTAAGGGTGAGCGGGACCCACAGGAAGGGCAGCACTTGCCTAGCACAGTTGAAATGAGCCAACAGCCACTGGGAATCATATGCTTGTCCTGTGCTTAGGGACCCAGCTGTCACAGCATGTTGTGCAGAAGAGAGTCACCATCAGTGGCTGTCCTGTGTAGAAGTCTGAATAGGTAGTCTTCGTGCACTTGAAGTGCCCCCAGCCCCTTCTCCCTGCCTCAGGGCTAGGGTACACCTGACCCTATCCTATCACGGGTTCCAATGCTAACAGCTTCCCTCCTGCTTCCTCACAGACCTGCGTAGAATGACCGCTGGCTTCATGGGCATGGCGGTGGCCATCATCCTCTTCGGCTGGATCATCGGTGTGCTGGGCTGCTGCTGGGACCGAGGCCTTATGCAGTATGTGGCAGGCCTTCTCTTCCTCATGGGAGGTAAGGCTGGAAGCGGCTGATGGGGAGGGGAGGCAGGGAAGGTCCTGTTAACAGTGGGGAAGTGGTAAGAGGACAGAGCAGAGGGGCGTGACCAATATGCTTCTTTCTGCTCCCTCATCCGGTTGGTTCATCAGCAGTCTGTTCCTGTCACCTTGACCACTCTACCGGCTGTTGGGCATGTAAAAGGAAATGAGATCCGGTCCTCAGTGTCTAGAGTCTTGGGGACCTCGGTGCTTAGACAGAAGGCGGATACTGTGGCTATGACATTTACATGACAGCAGCTGGAAAGCTCAGACTTGGAAGCATGAAACCAGCACGCGCTGGGCATATACACTCAGGTGCCCTGGATTTTAGTGTTAGACCAAGGAAGGCGGCATATCTTCCCCAAAGGCCCACACTCATCCTTGACTTTACTGTTTAAAACAAGGCAGTGGTGGGACAAGACTAGATCTCCCATTTCTGTTCCCTTTTGTCATAACCATCAAGTCAGCGCAGTAGCTGTTAGCAGACTGTACAGAGAGGGAACTGCGTAGTTAGAAGGGATCAGTTTCTGGGCTGAGCAAAGTGAAAGCTTTCTCTCCATCTACTTGGGCATCCTCCTGCCCTTTGGAGTCCCTAGTTTGAGGCTCAGCCTACAGCTCAAGTTTTGGGCTGCCTAGAGCAGGTGGATGGGTGAATTGTGTGTGTTGCCTGGAGGGAAAGAATGAAGATGGACAGATAGACAGACATGCTTGTGGGAGGGAGAGAGAATGAGTCCCACATGAGGAAGCAGACGCCAGTCCAGCTCTGGGCACTGTGCAGTTGCCTGATCCAGTCTCTCTTGTACCGGTTTCTAAGCTGAGGAGAGAAAGATGGAGTGGGTTGTGGGACTCTTTATCTGGTCCTTCCCTGTGCATTGAGAGACATCCAGGGCACAGAAAGCTCTGGTTTAGGAGAGGAAAGGGAGGAGGGCCTTGCAGGAAGAACTTGGGTCCAGAAGTTTTGTTCTGTTCCTTGAAGCACAGCGACTCTGTGCCAAACATGGATGCAGGCTTCCCGTGGACCTGATACTTAGGGGACTCACTTGTCATCAGAGCCAGATGTCCCCATGTCAGAGCTGCCACCACACCTGTGGTTAAGACTCAGAGAATGAGGGGCATGGTGGCTCTGTGACAGAGATTCTGTACAGAGAAGCCACCATGCCCCAAACACGTATGTCCTGTGGGTTCCCCCTTTCTTCAGTGAAATGGGGACTCAAATTCACTGATGGTTCCCACACTGTATTTTACAACTAGAGTCCCTGTTTCCCCCTTTGTAATCCACCATTCATGTGGGGACCTCCAAAATATAAAAAAGAAAAAAGATAAAAAGTGAAGCATCTGTAGCCTGTTTGTAGCAAGGCTGTATCCTGTTTGTAGTGAGGCTGTATCCTGTTTGTAGCATGGCTGTATCCTATTTGTAGTGAGGCTCAGAACCTGGGACCTTTCAACTCTGAGAACTTCCCAGAGATATGGGTTAACTTGTAGACTAATGGCCAGAAAGCCATTGACTGGCTTATCTTTTCTAGCCAGGCCACAGGAGTAGGTCAGACAATAAATAGGCCAGAACTGAGTGATAACGGCTAAGCTGAAAGCTGTTACTACAGTGAGGTCACTGCGTTACCTCCTACTCACTGAAGGACTTAGGACAAAAGGCAAGAGGACAGAGCGATGGGCAGGAGGGTGCCTGGAGCCCTGCCCGCATACTGCTGAGGCACCTACTAGATGTCTGGAGCTCCAGGATAGATTAGGAGCTGCCGCAAACTCCATTCTGAAGACTGAACATATGGGAGCCTCTGTAGATGGAGAGAGACTTCTCCATCTTGCCCAGTCTCACCGGACAGGTTTTTCTCTATGCACCGATCCCCACAGTCACTTATAAGATAACCACTCAGAGACTTAATATCAGTTACAATTGTTTGGCCAATGACCCAGGCTTCTTATTGGCTAGCTCTTACAACTAAATTAACCCATTTCTACTCATCTGTGTATCACCACGTGGCTGTGGCTTACCGGTGATGCCCTTTGGCGGCTACATGGTGTCTCCCTGACTCCACCTTCCTTCTCTCTGCATCTTTGGAATTCTTGCCTAGCTATGTTTTTCCTGGTCATTGGCTGAAATAGCTTTATTCATCAACCAATGAAAGCAATGCCTATTTGCAGCCTACAGAAGGACATCCCACATCAAGCTTCGATTTCTTCAGCCCAGGAAGTCCTTAGCCATCACAAGTCAGAGCTTCCTGGAAAGCTTTGATTAAGCACTGATGCAGACCAATCAGAACCACTCCCAAAGAGCCTTTGGGATACTCTCCATGTGCAAATAGAACCAAGAATCAGAGAGACAGATAAATTCTGGAGTCCTTCCTTGTAGGGTATCATGGAGTGTGCGCGTGCGAGCGAGCGCATGCACGTTCACACACACACACACACACACACACACACACACACACACACACACACACGAGTGCCTTGATCTTTATGACTGCTTCTCTAAGTTATGCAACAAGAGATAAGACCGAGCCAACAGTCCTCAGCAGCTGGGAGGCCTACCCAAGATCTGACTGCTGGGAGGTACACACAAATCTGCCTTTCTTGGATTTGTGTTACGTATTTTTAAAATGGCAAAACCATACTTGTGACAAAGTGCAAGTGTGACAACCAGATTTACAGAAGTTGCTCCTCCAATAGCCACTTCTTACTGATTAGAGGATGGTCTGGGCTGGACAGAGTCTAATTTATTCTCCGGTCACAAAGCCTTCTTTTCCTCCTGGAGGTTTTTGTTGTTGTTGTTGTTGTTTGTTTGTTTGTTTTTTTAAATCTTTGTCCCTGGGTAAAGCAATATTCTCCTGAATGAAGCTGGGGAGGGAAGGGAAATGGTATCCATACCCTTTGGGGTATTATTGAGCCCTGAAATAACAAGGGTATTAATAACAAAGCCTTTGATTTCTCATCTCTTGAATGGTGGTGGTTTCTCTTTTGGAAGTTCTGCCATACCCTTCTTTCTCAAGCTGGGAGAGACACAGCTCTGAGATTTCAGTATCCCAGGGCAACTGCCATGCTCTGACCTATGCAAATAACTCATGTTCAATTGGTTTTGTTAAAAGTATATGTGTTGCAGAAGGATATGGTTCAGGATCAGAGACTGAATTACTGGCCCTGCTCTGTGTGATATCTAAACTGAAGGGCCAGATATGAACCCAGAAGAACTGCCTGGACCTGTAGAAGCCTGCATGTCAGAGACATCATAGCAGGAACCTGTCCCGGAACCTGAAAAGTCTGCTCTCCAGGGCTCAGTTTCCTATCAAAGCGTCCGGGGAGTAAGCCACCTGTTCCAGCCACCTCCAAGACAACAAAACTATCAGTCATTGACACTGCACAGATAGTTCCCAAATGTGACCTTGTAGCTTTCCCTAGGGTGGTGGCCTCTTGGGTGTCTCTAACTGAGCTGAGCTAGGTCCCTGGAGGTTGTATTGGGCTGGAAGCTAAGTAGGTAGTAACCAAGAGCAGCCAGGTCTGGGGCTGGCCACATGTGAGTAGGTGAACAGGTAGAAAGGGAAGACTCGGCAAGAAAGAAAAGGGCACCTTTGGTCTGGGGGAATGCTCAGTGAGTAAAGTGCTTGCTTTGCAAGCATGGGGGCCAGAGTTCAGTCCTCAGAACCCACCTAAACAGACCAGGTGTGATGGTGGGTGCTCGTCATACCAGCCCCAGGAGGCAAACAAGTGAATCCCTGGGGTTCTCTTGCCAATCAGCCTAGTCCAGCTAGCATGTTCCACGCCAATGGGAGACCTGTCTCAAAAGGCTATGTAGACAGCTCCTGACAAATGACACTCTGCCCTCCACATGTACATGTACTTACCTACCTACACACACACACACACACACTTGTACCTACACACACAAACCTATAACATACAAATATTTTTAAGTACAGAAGTCTATTTGGAATCAAGATTCCCATAATTGAGCTATTGGCAACTATAAGTGAAGTGATTCATCAAACATATTAGGCATGTTCTACATTTTAATTAATTTAAATTTCTGCACTATTCCCCTTCTTGCCTAGATATGTGGTTCTTAGTTATAAACATATATTAGGGCTGGAGAGATGGCTCAGCTGTTAAAGGCTAGGCTCACAACCAAA